TTCTTCAGTAATAAAACCAAAAGGTGGAGAGTCCCAGGTATTGATATCCTAGTTGGGGTTGTCCCGTGGGAGGGTCGTTAACCCACTATCAACATTATCACATGAACCAAGGTGTGAAAAAAGGCGTGGGTCATTATCACCGGAGGTTTCGGGTGAAACCATTGTGAGACGTTCCCTTACGCTATCATGTGGTCTATTGACGTCACCTGACTGAAGACGTGCGTGGAAGTTGAGCCATCTGGGAAGGGATTTCATGATTTCATTGTAAGTGGGTGACAGTTGGCGTCATAAACCACCCCATGCTCGTTCACAGTGGACATAGAGGGCGTCTTTTGCTCCTCTTTCAAACCATCTGTCTTCTTGGTTCAAATGTAAACATTGGCATCTTTGAAAAAGTGAACTTGATCCTTTAGATGCAGATGTACAGCTGAGCCTTGTCTTGTTGAAATAGCTCCTCTATGTTTCTATCCACTGAGTTGATGTGAAAAGTGAAGGGTTGGAGTAGGTGAAAGGTGAAAGCTCTTTATGAAACTTAAAGTACTCCAGATGTTTTTTCCCCAAGCTCAGAAGAAAGCAATAAACAGAATTAATGCAAACTGAAATATTGCAAAATCCCTGTGATCATGATTACAATTAGTTTTAGGATCTTAATTCAAAGAGCTTCCTTTTAAATAGTGTATATAAATCTGTGTTCCTTAGGCGAGGCGTTAACGTCATAAGAAGCAGATCTTACTGCAGCAGCGTGATGCTCATACTTCCTGTGGGTTAAACATAGCCTGTTGGTGAAGTTTCATAACATATCATCAGGTTATGATATGAAATGATAAACATCCTAACAATGAACACTTACATAATATTCTGCATAATAATCTGCATTGTTATTGTTTTGGGGAACTGTTGGATAGTGTGTCACTGAAAGAATTTTGGGAGGGCATTAGCTCCTTTCCTTTCATAAAGAAAAGGAGATAATATTGAATAGAAGTAATACAGGAAGTGCTGAATTACCTTTTTTAGTGTTTACGGTTTCTGAGCAGATCTTTTAATAGCAGCTCTATAGAAGCCTCTGGGTAATTGTGCTCCTTGAGCAAAATTAATTATTCAGCTGTAACATTTGTCTTATGATTGATAAAAACAGGATGCTGTGGCTGAACGTCACATGGGCAGGGAATGTTTAAAAATGCATAAACTCCATGTTGACCGGTGTCACCTCATGTGATGAATGGCAACAACAATGGTTATAGGAACTTCTCTTCTGTAACTGCTGTAACTTCTATGCTACTTCTGCTTAACATTTTAAATATTTGTTTTTGAAAACATGGTCCAATTTAATACAATTTTGTTTTTCTCTAAAGTTATACCACAATTTTAATTAACAGCAATTAGATAACAAAGTAAATAAAATGAGGACTTCTGCATTGCAGATGAAGAGGAGGAATTTGACATGTTTGCCCAAACCAGAGGCAGCTCTCTGGCTGACCAGAGGAAAAGGTGAGTGTTACTTACTTATGATGGATATAAATGATATCAAATATGCATTTTATATGTTAGGGATCTGCATGCCACTGATAACAAGTCGATTTATTAACGTTCTAGATCAGCGGTCCCCAACCCCCGGGCCTCGGACCAGTACCGGTCCGTGAGTCGAGAGTTGAGGCTCAGGTGTGAAATGTAT